AGCCAAATGAAGAGTGTGTTGCAAATTTTCTGCAAGAAAAGGTTAAAATTATTCAAGAGAAAATTGAACAGAATGCTTCTGGAATCTTAGAAAATTCTTCTCTTCCTTATAGACAGTGTTCAGGTGTTGCTCATGTGTTTTTTCACAGTTGGAGAAGGCCAAAGTTTGCAGTTTGACAATTACATGTTGAACTGTGATGAATCACATTTGATTTTTTTCACTTGTAATTTTTACTAAATGTGTAATAGAATTTCTAGATGCCCGCCCCGCAAACAAAGCAAACAAAATACGCCAACTCACTGCATCATCGCTATGCCAAGATATGAACAAAAATTTGTCGTGGAAGCCTGTTAATACAGCATTATTAGAGAGTTTGTTCCTATGGAGTATATACCTTATGTTTCAGTTTTCCGTATGTGATTATATGGTACCAGGAAATGGGGACTTACTGATTTATGTTCTCTTCTGGGACTATTTCCAGTTTATCCTGTATGTATCTCCTTTCTGTATAATTGTGTGCATGTTGTCTCCCCCATTAGACTTTAAGTTACCTGAGGGTAAGAGCTGCGTTTTGCCTTTCTTTATATTTCTAGCTCTTAGCACAATGGCAGGCACATAGTAGGTACTAAGTTAGTGCTCTTTTATCAAGATTTATCTGAACTTTTTTTTTTTTGGTATTTTTCCTTGCTTTTCAAAATGAAAGGTGTTGATTCCCAGCTTTGTGCGGTCTTGTGGGGCCCAATCCTTGCTGAATTGGTTTGCCCCTTCCAGCTGTTAGAGTCACAGAGACAGTTTCCTTATCTGTAAAATGGGAATAATAATAATAGTGCCTACCTCTCAGGGTCATGAGATGAGATGAGATATTAGCACAGGGCCTGGCACATAGCAAGGGCTACATAAATGTCACGGATTATTGTTATTAGTCTTTTTGCTTTCCTGGTAGTCGGTAAAAGATGGAGAAATGTCCACACTTTGAAGTTCTTTGCTTTCCGGGGTGCCGTGTTTGAGGTGTGGTCAGTTACGCGTCATTGCTCACTGCCAAAGTTGTCCTCTCCCCAGTCCTTCCTCGTGTGCCATTCCCCTTCTTGAACTTCCTGCTCACCACTGTTCCAGGTGCAGGAGCTTTGTTTGGCTTATTCCCCCTCCCCAAAGGCCTTAGCTTAGCTCAGCCTTCCAGCAAAAGGACCCTAGTCCTGTAGCAGGAGTACAGGAGTGATGGACCAAGCCATGATCTTGAGTGTCCAGAGACCCAAGCTCGAACCCCTGCCCTGCCCTGTGTGACCTGGGACAAGGTGACTAGTCGCTGAGCTGTAGTTTTCTCCTTCATCAAATGGGGTCGTGATGCTCGCCAGGTTATTGTGAAGAAATCGCTTTGTGAACTTCAAAGCCCCATGTAAAGTGTTATTGAGACAAAACACCACAAGCTGTGCACATGGGCCCAAGTCCGAGGTAGGTTCCAGGAAGCTTTCCTTCCTGGTTCTCTCTTTGTCTCAACTTCCGTGACATGGACACTCTCTGTCGAGGCTTCCTATGCTCTCATCTCTTAATCGCCAAGTGTTCTAGGTATGTTTCCTTAGGGACCCAGACCTGCACACCTACACCGCAGTTCTAGTGGGGACTCCATCTGTACCGTCCCAGGCCGCCATGGTATTAAATACTGTCCCTCCCCTGCCACAGTCCAGCCAGACCTGCCTCCCACAGGGCATCCTACTTCCCACCGTACCGTTGCCTAAGCATCCTCGGTGCCCAGAATCTCCTCTACCTCACCTTTAACTCTGGGAATCCTGAGATTGCAGCAGAGCTCAGCTTGGGCATCGCCTGTCACAGGAAGCCTTTTCTAAAGTCCTGCAGTCTCGTAGTTTCTTTGTATCTAATTTGCATTTAGTGGCACATGACCTGGGAGCACGTGAGGTCCTTGAGGGCAGGGATTGTTGCATTTTTGCATGGTCTCTACAGGGCCTAGCACAGGGCTGGGCACATAATAAGGACTTAATAAATGCTCATTGATGGATTGCTGTGTTAAGACCAGAACCTTGTTCCTGAGACTTCTGTGTCGGCTAGAGCTTCATCACCAATGCTCCAAGATGTCAGAATTACCCTAGGGGATTGGATTTGGTACCAGCACAGTCGCTGGCTGGACCCAAGCTGAAGGCCTCCATGCCTTGTTAATCACCGATGGGGCAACTCGAACCCTCTGGGACCTTTTACCCACAGGCTCTTAATAGACCTCAAGATTGCCCAGGAATCTGCCACAGGACAGAACACTGCGTTACTTACAGCAAACGCCGGCTCCTACCCCACTAAAAATGTGTTTTATACTTAGAGCCCTGCACGTTTCTGCATTTGCTAGTACCTCTTTCTTTGTGCTCTTTTCTCCCCATAGTTAAATCAGATGGTTTTGTACTGGTGGTTCTTCCCATTTACGCTGGCGTGTTCTTGGTTCTGCAGCCTCCGCTCTGCATCAGTTCATGCAGGTCTCCCTGTGTGTCTCTATTCATCATTCCTCACAGCACAACAAGAGCCCATTACATTCATGCACCAGAGTGTGTTCAACCATTTCCAGGCCCGTGGGCCCTCCAGCACCTTGCTGCCACGAAGAGGCTGCTGTCACTACTGTGACTCTGGTGTTGTTCAGGACCTTCCTTCTTGTCAGTTACCTGCCAAAGAGAGCAGGATTTTAACTTGTTATTTTTCACAGGCATCCGGTGAAGTGAGCTGAGTGCGGGCATAGGGACATTTAAACTAGCCCCCGCGATGTCCACACATCAAGGGGACTGTCCTGGAGGAGCAGGAGGCCCGTGGGCGCTCCAGCCACCTGCTTCTTCTCTGTTTGGGGAAGTTACGCCGTGCTGCCAAATCCTTTCATCTGTTCATTTGCTCAAACAGAACAGTCTCCGAAGCCTTTCAAGACTGATTAACCTGCTGGCTGGGAGGATATTTTCTGTTTCTTCTGTTTTCTATCCTAGATGTCGACCTAACAGATGCAGCAAGAAGAGGCTCTAGCAGTTTGCCATGAATTTGGCTTAAAAAGAAAAAAGTCCTGCTTGGAAACGTGGAAAAAGAGAAGAAGAGGGCTGCTGTTTAGATGGGCAGCCCTGTCCTTGGCTCATTGGGGCAGTGGGCAGACTTCTGGGTGTGGCCCTCCCTGGCTGGGCCATCTCTCGAGTCACAGGCTGTGAGATCACCAAGGCAGGCCTTGCGGCCCCGGGGGGCCTGGCGCGGTGTCCGCAGCCTCCTAGTTGCTTAATAAATGCTTGTTGATTGCTTGATTATATTGCTGGAGAGAGGGCTTCCCTGTGCATCTTTTGCATCTAAGAATGAACAGTACCATAAAATGGAACTGAGGCCAAGTGTGTTTAGTGTTATTGGCCTCAGTTTCTCTGTCCTAGAAGAGAATACAGGGACCAGTTTAAAAAAACAAAGGAAAAACTGAAATTCACGCAACACTTTAAGCTTTGAATAAAAAAAAAATCATCCACTAGGCACTTACTGTGTGCAGTGTTTGCCCCATGCTTTCCTCAGTGCCAGGATCGCAGTCCCCATTTCAGAGTGACTTGGCCAAGGGCTGCACAGTGTCAGAACTAGAAGTCAATCCCACATCGACCCATCTTCTCCCTCTTCCGTCTTCTCTTCTGCTTGGAGCGACCGACCCAGGTCGCCATGCTCATGTTTGCGCTGTGTTTCTTAGCGTCGATGAGAGTGCAGGGCATGTTGGACATGCCAACCCCTCCCTCGCTGCCCATCAGACACCTTTTGCTTTATTCATGTTGTTTCTCAGGGAGGGTTACCCTTCACATGAGTCGCTGAGCTTGGTGCCTCACACTTAGTAGGTGCATAACAGTATTTATGGATTTGTTTTTAGTGAGCCTATTTCAGTTAATGACTGAGCTGTTTCAGTTACCAGATGGAAGCCCTTGACAAGCTTGGGAGAGTTTGCCTTGTTTATTTAGGGGTTTGGGGAATAAAGAGTTTTGCTTTGACCATAGGAGTGGCTTTTAACCAAGGGAATTTTGGCTAAGACCGAATCACAATAAATGCCACTTTTTATAGATTAAAACCACTCTCCTGTGACTAATAGAAAAGTTGAAAAATATATATGTTCTGGCAGTATTCTGATTACCTTGTAAATGTGGAAGAACTGAAACTTAAACTTAAGTTTTCCTTTTGCCCTTGAAGTATAAAAATTCTGTTATGGCTTTGGCATCTTCATTTCCTCCACTGCTGTGGGTTGGAAGTTCTCTTTGTCTCTTTCCTCTCCCCCGTTCTCTCTGATTGGTTGCCATTCCTGTCAGTTCTCACTTCCCAGCATCTCCCCTTTCTCTCGGGTCTTGTGGCTTCCGTGCTGGCTAGAGGGCTCATCACCTCCTGCCTGGCCTGGTGCCCCGCCTTCTGATGGAGATATCAGTTTCCCATCCTCCACATGGCTGCTGGAATCAAGCAAGGCTCCCACCTCTTACTCCCTCTGCTCAGAAGCCTTCAATGGCTCCCTGTTATCTTTAGGATAAAATGCTCCCCACCCCCAGGGGACATTTAGGGCCCCCCAAAACCTGGCTCCAGTTTGCCTCTGTAACCTCATTTCACACTCCCCCCCTTCACAAAATCTGTGTTCCAGCCAAACTGGATAATCCCCTGTCCTCTGATGGTGACGTGGCGTCTTCTGCCTCCATGCGTCTCTGTAGTCCTCTCACGCCTGGAATACGCTCCCTTCTGATTGCTACCACTTGGGGTTAGTGCGTCTGGGTAAAAATTCCTGATTCCCCCGGCTGATCCTCTTCTGTCTCCTGTCAAATATTCCTAGAGTTTTTGCTCCTGCTTCTTAACAGTCTGTGGATGTGTCATATACCTCCTGGTGGATTGGGAGGCATTGGAGGGCAGGCTCTCTGTCATTTTCATCTTTGTATTCTTCTTCCCAGGACCCTGCACACAGTAGATGCTTAATAAATGTGTGGAATTGAATGACTTGACAATTACTTTGTTTTGTTTATTTCCTGTTCCTTCAGGTCGAGACTTGATTTGTATCCAGTCCATGGATGGGATGCTCATGTTATTTGAACAGGAAAGTTACGCATTTGGGCGGTTTCTCCCTGGTTTCCTTCTGCCTGGCCCTCTCACTTACAGCTCCCGGACAGATTCCTTCATTACTGTCTCTTCCTGCCGCCAGGTTGAGAGTTACAAGTAAGTGTCCTTTGGAAGTCTCTGGAAGTGCTTTCAGGTGTATGCACTTAGGTGTTAATTAGGAGCTCAAATGGGTGATTGTGAGAAATGGCACATTGTTTTGGAGACTCAGCACTGCCTGTGTGTATAGGAAGACGAAGAAAGAATTGGGGGAGTCGGGTCTGGTGTAGATGTTGTTGCTTGAGTGAACTCAAACCAGGCTTCATGTTGCTGGTAAAGGGTTCCAGTGCCCCAAGGGGGCAGGGCTTCTTTTTCCTAAGGAAATTTTCCATTCTTTAATAAATTTTATTTGAGGACTTTTTTTTCCCTAGCTAGAACTACTGTATACTTCAGCAAATAAGGGGTCAGTAGTTCTCAGTGAAGAAAGACAAGGAAGGAAATACAGAAAAATCCAGGGAAGTAAAAAGCCATGTCACCCCCCCCCCATCTCTGGCCAAAAAAAGTAGCATTTTAGAGTGTGAAGGGTGGGAGGTGCAGCGTCACCCTCCCAGTGCTCCTCACAGGCACCAATGAAACGGGACTGATCTCAGCAATGCCTCGGGTTCCTAGTCTCGGCTTTGGCTCAGGAGGAGCAACGGCTGGCGGAGCTTAGGTCGGCTACCTCTAGCCCTTACAAAGGACCACCCAAGTCTAATGTGCAAATTCCTTAAAGTTTGAGAACATTTAGGGGCAAAAAGTGGTGCGTCTTCCCTCCTCAGGTCACATGGGGTGTGGAGCCCATCTAAATGCTCTGACGTTGGCTCCTGCATGGCGATGGTGCTGGACTGGTCATCAGCATAAAGATAGTCGCTTTGAGAGCTTGAGGGGATAGCCGTCCACCTGGCCCATGCCTGCTGAAGAGCTGAGCACGGCCGGCCAGGCCTGCTTTTCACTTCTCACACAGGGCTGGAATTTCTCTGTGCCAAGTGACTGTCTTGGCAGGGCTGCCCTCCCCAGTAACAATAGAAAGGCCTGAAGACTCCATTACTTCTGCTTTGAAATATGTGTGTTGGAATTAATTGGTAGTAGTTCCAGAAGTGATTGGATAAAGAAGTAATGTGTTAGTTTCCTTAATGTGCGGGTTTAATCTCACTGAAGCCCCCACTGTTCTTGGGGCCCAGCCTTGCCAACATTCCATTCCACTCAATTCATCTCCTTCTAGGAGGGAAACAAGGTACATTTTCTCCATTGGGTGACTTGGTAAAAATGCGTGGGAGATGGATTCTTAGGAAATGATAAAAAACCTGAGGGCTTCAGGGGCTGGATGCAGTTTATGATTTCATGTGTTTTTGTGTATGGGCCTTAGTGTTTAAAACATTAAGCTTACTTCATGATAACCACTGACACAGTTCCTTAGTGAGTGAAAAAGCAACATTTGCTCCTCTCGGCTGCCTCTGGTTTGCTGATTACTCACAACACAGGGCAGTCCAGGTCATCAGAATGAATTATTTCCCCGATATCTGTTTTTTAAAAATTTCATATTTCATTGCTGCTATAAGATTCTTATGCCCAAATGCAAAATGTCTGTGGGAATTGTGTGGTTGTTTGGGGAGCCCGGCATGTTGGGGGCGATATCTGATAGCCGTGGACTTTCCTTTCGAATGAGGAGGGAGCCCGATCACCTCATGCAGCCCCTTCACTGGACAGGTGAAGAAAGCGTGTCATGCTGAGCTTTGGAAGGTCTGGGGACTCCCTGCTTTTGGGGTTCCTGAGCAGTCACACTGAGTGGAAGGTTACAGCCTCACTGCTTCCCATTGATGCTCTTCCCTGTGACTTAACTTTATGTAGTTTTATAGCAGACATGCTGATGTGCTTCGGAAGGGAGAGTGCCTCCTGGTACCATGGAGCTGGGAATGGAGACCCAAGAGCTGCGCCATTTCTGTGCAGTGTGTTGCTGCTGTCTTCCTAGCCTCCATACTTGGAGGTCGTTTTTGGCTCGTTGGTCTTCTTTCCTGCTCGGCTCTGATAAGCCGTGCCGTGGAATTGGTTTCTGCATCCATCCATTCCTTCCCATTCCTGCTACCATCTGGGTTATGCTCCCATCCCCTCTTACCTCCTCACTGCTGTCCCAGTTCTTCCTCGTGCCCTCTGATCTCTCTGCCCTCAGGTCAGTCCCTCAGACAATGCCACACTTAGCCTATTAATCTCCTGCCCAAAGATTCCACTTGTTTCCATTTCCTTTGAGATAACAGCTGTGTTCCTCAGCCTGGTTTCTATATATTTTATCATCCAGACCTGTCCATCCATTCAGCATTTAGTGAACTCCTTTCATATGTAAATACTGTGGAAAGAGAGACAGCAATAAAAACAGCCCTTGTCCTCTGGGAGCTTCCATTTAATTAGGGACATAAAATATTCACATAGGTAAGAAAGTAAGCAAGATAGTGTGTAGAGAACAAGAGCCCTCCCAGCTGGAGGGATCAGGAAGAACGTTGTGTAGGAGAGGGCCCCTGAGCTGGTGAAGGAAGCCTGGTGGAGGCAGTGATGGCGTGTGTGTGAAGGTGGGAGGAAGGGAATGGTCAGTAAGCAGGGGGGGCTGTGCCATGTTGTGTGTGAAGGGGAAGGAGATGAAATCAGCCTAGAAAGGTAGGTGGGAGCAACATTGGGGGGGCAGTAAAGGTCAAGACTCATATATCCTAGAAGCATTAGGAAGATCCTTGAGCAGAGGAATTACAGTTGTGTGGGTGAGAGAGTAGAGAGACTGCATTCAGGGAGCCTAGTAGGACGTTATTATATTAGTGCAGGTGAGAGGAGACGTAGGGTGAATGTGGGCAGGAGCCGTGTGAATGGAGATGAAGGGACAGATGTGGATAATATAGAGGCAGAGTCAGTAAGAGTTACCTCAGCAAAAATGGGGAGATCCGGTGGAGCAGCAGGGGAAGGTAAGATAACGAGGTGGGTTTTTAAACTGTTGTTTGAGATGCTGGTGGGGCATTTAGAGGGAGATGTTTGGCATGCAGCTGGGGGTATGGGATTGGAATTCAGAACTGAGATCAGGAGGGATGTGTGTGTGTGTGTGTGTATTAGGAGGCATACATATACATACATGTGTATCTATCTACATGGTATACACACACATACACACACACACACACACACACACACACACACACACACACATATGGAGAAGGAAAGGGCAAACCACTGTAGTGTCTTTGGCAGGAAAACACCAAATGGGTCACAAAGAGTTGGACACAGCTGAAAATCACTCAACAACATATATGTATGTGTGTGTGTGTGTGTGTGTGTGTGTGTGTGTATGTGTGTATACATATCCATATATGTATGTCATCTAGAGACAGTATTTTAATCCTTGGGAATTGATGAAGTCGGCAAGAGAGTGAGGAGTATAGAGAGACAGGAGGACTCAGGGCAGAGTTTTGGGGGGGACACCCAGGCCTGGTGGACAGCAAAAGGAGGAAGCTCTGTCTAGTGCAGGGGATGGAGAAGAGGTCATCTGCGAGGGAGGAGGAGAACCAGGAAGGAGCAGAGTCACAGAGGCTGCGGCCAGTTGATGGCCAAGGTCAAGAGGCCTAGGAAGAGGGAGTCCAAGGAAACTCGCTCTCATGCTGAATGGGAAAGATGTCCTCGGTTACTTGGGAGAGTCATTTTAGTGGAGTAGGGGCTTGGGAGGCAGAATGCAGGGGATTGAGCAATGAAATGGAAGCAGTGAAGATGGACGCCTTTTTCTAAGCACTTGATGAGGTCCTGACCCATAGCTTGAAGGAGCGGCAGGGTCAGGTGATGGGTTGTTTAGGATTGGGGGGGGGCGGGCCACCCAGAGCCTGTTTGTTGGCAGCCAGGAAGACGCAGATGAGTGAGGAGACGTGGAAGATGGGAGGAGGGAGGAGTAACCTTGGCAGGCTTTCTGAGATGGGAGGACATGTACTCAGAGGATACGGTAGGGGAGGGGTCGGTCACTTTTTAGCGCCTGGTGCAGAGGAGGAGAAAATGAGAGATGCTGGAGGCATGATGAGGGCTGAAGAGAATGCTCATGGCGGATGGCCTCTTTTCCCAGTAGAGTAGCAGTTGTCTGCTGAGGAGAGATGGTCTAGGAAATGTGAGGAGACAGAAGAACTGTCAGCGGACCATGATAGAGAATCAATCGAAGAGGCGCCCAAAGATTTCCATGTGGAACTGTTTATTAAGGCGAGCCCAGCCCCTCGTGCTGTGCCCTTCTGCAGCAGCATGAGAGCTTGGGAGGCTTGGGGTTTGCTTGGCAGTAAGCAAACAAACCCCCTACCAATACCTACCTTTATTTCTGACTTCTTCACTCCCCCAAGCTCATGCCCATGTTGCCCTGTATTCAGTCCTGCCTCCCTGCGTTTGCTTGTGCTGTGCCTCCCATCTTTTCTGCCTGTTCTAGTCCTACCCATCTTTCAAGCTCCAGCTCTAGTCCCGTTTCCTTCTGGAAGTCTTCTATGATAACTCTATCCAAAAAATTCTGCTCCCTCCCTGAACTTCACCTGAAATTATATTGTACCTAATACTCATTTCTGAACTCCATAGGACTTAATCTTATGAGTAACTGTTTGCTGAGCCCATGGTCTGCCTTCCCAAGAGGACCTTAAGCCCCCTGAGGAAAGGGACCATCTTCTAAACTTCTCTGGGACTCTCTGCTGCATCTAACACAGTGCCAGAGCCAGACGGGGCCCTTCAGCCGGTATTTGTTACATTGCATTGGCAACCCTATTTAGCAGTGTAATACTTGGCTTGTTCCAAGTCGGCTCTGGGTTTTATAAAACAGTGACTTGATTTAAGCAGTCTGTCTTTTTCCATATGAGCTGTGGGATCAGTGCCTCTGCAGGGAGCACCCTTGTGGATGAGGACACAGATCCATTAAAGTCATAGGACCATAGGTTCAGAGCAGGAGGGAACGCAACATCCCTTCCTGGCTGTTCCTCTTATTTTAAAAGTGACAAAATTAAGGCTTCAATGAATAAGTAGCAAGGGTGAGATTTAAACCCAGGTCCTCTGATGCCAAATCCAGACACTTTTCCCCGCATCACATTTGCTCGTCTGCTGAAGTAAGGCTATCTAGAAGTAGTGTGGAAATGGTGCCTGTTGGAAATTGAGGCAAGGTGAGTGGAAGCCGCCATCTTGGTCGTGAATTATGGGCATGTAAACCAAAAAGGACTTTTTGTTACTGAAATCTCAGTGAAAGACTTTTTGTAAGTTTCACTTAGGAAGTTACGTACCCATAATTATGTTATTATTATTAGTTGAACTGAAAATACCAGTTCCCTGCATGCAGATTTTCTGTTTATCTCATGACACTTTCAGTTTTTGAAATGGAGACCCAAAGTCACCTCCACATCTTTGTGTGACAGACAGCTTGCGTTGGAAAATAAATGATTTGGGCTTTCTTACTTTTGAAATCTGTGGCATCTCGGTCCTGACATGCTGTTTTTATGCTGTGACATTGGGGAGCTCTAAATTATGGGGCAGCTTTTGGCCTCAGTAGCCCACAGTTCCTCTGCTTGGGGCTGGCTTGTCAGAAAACACTGCCATTCATCCTTGCCATGACTGTGTTTGTGGTTGGTGGGACCCTTCCCCAAAAACGTGTGCAGAGCTCTTTCATAAGTCATTCCCCACTGGGCCTCATTAGTCTTTCAGCCTTCTCCATGAGGGAGTTAAGAGTCTTCAGCTCTTATCCCTGAATGCTTTTGAGTGGTAAGGGGAAAAGAAAAGATTTAGTTATTTTCCTAGCATCTGAATTCCCAAGCTCTCTTGGAATTGTTTTTAAATATAAAATTAGACATAGATTTTTATATGTGTTATTAGTCATAGTCAAAAAGAGGTCAGACAGCAAGAATTGCAAAAGAGATGCTGTTGTCAATTTGTCATCATCTAAATTTACTGTTTGTTATAGTTAAGCTATAAAATCCTGTTCTGATTTATCTTCCGGGAAGAGAAATTGATCTGGGCTTGGAAAGCAGGACTGCCTTTTGGCTGTGGCTCCAACTGGACTTGGGATCTTGATGAGGCCACTTTAGGGGCTTAACTCATTGAAATAATAACTCTTTGTATCTGCACAGAGAGTTTCTAAAAGCCCAAGGAGCTCTTAATTTTCAAAAACTTGTTCACTAGTCTTAACATCACCCTATGATGGGTCTATAGTTAAACTTACAGAATTTCTGAGCTGAAAGGAGCCTCAGAGGCTGTTGGGTCCAGTGTGTCCCTTTATAACATGCCCAGTGCCCGTAAGTGGTCATCCTACTTTGGCCTGAGGGCATCCCTAACTTCTTGAGGCAGCCCAAAGGATTAGAGAGGATTGTCATACATGAAGCCCAAACCTGCCTCTTTCAGTCTTTACCCGCTGTAGCTGGTTGTGCCCTCTGGGCCAAATAGAGCAAGTGTGACTTCTAGACATGGCAGCCCCTCACATACCGGAAGGACAAGGTCAGGTCCTTGCTATCTTTTCTTCTCCAGGTCAGATAGCCACTGTTTCTTCAATTCATTCTCCTGCAGCACGACCTTGAGGACCTTTGTCATCTTCCCTGCCCTCTTCATGTGCTATTCAGCTTATTCATGCACTTCCTCAGTTGTGGTGCCCAGAGCTGAAATAATATTTGAGATACTGTTTACCTAGGCCAGAGCCCACTGGGATTATTCCACACTGCTTTTGTTCTAGACACTGGGCCCCTGTCAGTGCAGCCCAAGACTGTCATGAATGTAAGTGCTTTTACTTTAGGACTGGTGGAGATGAAACATTGAGAGAAGTGGGTGAGGCCAGAGAAGTTAGGAGCATTCCTGTCTGCCCCGTCTTCCGATCCTACAGCCCACGCTGTTTCTCTTAAGAGAGATGAAGAAAGCATTTGCTAAACACTTACCTGTGTGCCAGGCCCAGTGTTGCTAAGTGCTTGGGATCCAGAGACAATCAAGCAAGGTGATCTCTGCCCTCTGGGAGCTTACATTCTAGTGGGGGAAGGCTTTATAGGCTATAAAGGGAAACTGGAGGGATGGGCAGGAGGCGGAATCAGGCAGAAGCTCACACATAGAACCTGGGAACCCGGGGGCGGGGGAAGGCAAGGATAATGGCTAGAGCGTGTCCAGCATGGTGGAGGAGATAACCTCCAAGTGAAAGAATGGCAGCCATGTGATACGGCGGGTGGAGGCTGGGACATGTGGCCTGCACAGGCAGCATTTGTGGGGCCTTTTGCAGTTTTTGAGACCTGTGTAACATTGTGGGGAGTGGGGACATGCTTTCAGGTAAAGAATAGATTTTCACGAGGAGCTTGTGGACTCTGTCTCATCTCCTATGCCTGAAATTAGGGCTTTCCCAGAAGATGGAAGGAAGCATTGGCCCATGGCATGGGAAGGATAATGGCGGTGGTGGTTTGGGCAGCCCACTCATTCAGGCCCCTTCTGGGTGCACTGTCGAGCCTTTCCTGAGCATTCTGGGATGCCTCCAAGCCTCACTTCCTGGTCCTGAAGATGTCTTCAATGTGGAACGGCCCATTAGCTTGGGGAACTGTGGACATGCCACAGATAAACTAGGCTGGCATGCAGATTTTGACAGAGAGGTGTAGATGTGATGTTAATGCTCACCATGTAGATCTTGTTATGCCATGCAGTCCTGGAAATAAGTGCTGCCACGTTTGTCCTGGGACTTAAAGAAACCAGTGTGCACCTGCTGGAAATTGGCTAGCAGTGCTAGCAAACAGTACACTGGCTTCTCTTTTTTCCTTATGTTTGAAAAAATGGGAGTCTGAGGGTTGGAGAACACCAAGTGGTCCGTAAGCAGGCCTGGTCTGATTTTTCTCTTAGCCTAATGTTTTGGTGAAGTAACAGGAGAGAAAGTAACTCCTAAAACCGTACTTTTCTTCTTATTCCAGTGGAACAAGGTGGGCATTATACCAACCCAGTAGGTAATGATGCTACTATAACTGAAATGTGCAGCTCAAATGAATAGTGGTCAAATTAAATGATGAATCCCTATCCACCTCCCATAAAATGAAATTGTTCCAAGAATGGTATGAGCCCAACAGACTTGGTGAAGGAGAAGGTTCAGATCATTGCATCCCAGTTCTAGAGTGGGAAGGGACTTAATGAGGTCATCCAGTCCAACCGCCTCCTCTCACAGATGAGGGAAATCAAGCCTCAGAGATGTTAAGTGACTTATTCAGGATCACACAGGCAGTTGTGAGAGCCACCCCTTTGGCCTCTTCCTCCTATCAGTCATTTCCTCCTTTATCTTCTGTGTTAAAGACAGTGCCCAGGCTGCCATATCTCCATCCTGCTTCAAGCTCAACCCCTACTCTTGAGACATCATCCACTCTACTACTCCCCTTTAGTCTGTAAGCTTCTTGAGGACTGGGCTGGGGGTGGGTCCTTTTGCTTTTCTTTGTATCCTCAGCACACAGAAAGGACTCACTGATGACTGACTAAGCTATGTTGCAGCTATGTAATTTAGTCTCAGGATGCATGTCAGGACCTAGAATGCTTAATATTACAACTTACAGCATAAAATTTTACTACTTCCCAATGAAAACCTTGATCATGATTTACAGGCAATTCAGGGTCACACTCCTTCCCCTATTTTAACAGTTTTAATGTAGGATTTTAATTTCCTAATATGGTTTTTGACATTTTACTCTCATGGCCTAATAAAGTTCAGTGCAAATTCCATTTCTGCTTCTCCTTTAAAAAGAGTGCTGTACGCAGGGCCCAGGAGCACATCTGTCTGCAGCTGTGTGCTCAGATAGGTTTTTGTCTCTGTTTTTCAATCAGGTACCAAGTGCTTGCCTTTGCAACAGATGCAGATAAAAGAGAAGATACAGAGCAGCAAAAGCTTGGCGCTGGCAAAAGGCTGGTGGTAAGCAACCCTTTTTTATTTTATAGGTAATATTTATCAACAAAGTATCAGAAGGAATGACGTTCTGCTCACCATTGACTGACATACGATACATGCAGATCCTTGTGCCTGTAAATAGTTGATTGTCAAGCACTGCTTGGGCACCGGTTGTGCACCAGGCACTGTGCCGGACCCTGAGACAGAAAGGAAGAAGGCCTTGCCCCAAACGGCCCACATTCCACAGGGGGAGCACGACACGTACACAGCACGCATAAAGGTGCACAGAGCTTCGATGCCAGTGGGGGAGCCTCACAAAGGCTTCCTGTAGGTTGGGGAGGCGGCGTTTACGCTAGCTTTTATGGGCACATGGGGCCTGAACAGAGGCGTGGAGGCAAGGCTGGGCGTCGTGCGTGGGTGACAGTAGGAAGGCCAGTTTGGCGGGCTGTAGTGCGAGTGAAGGGGAGTCATGTCGAGGAAGGGTTTTTAGATGCCCCAGAGAAGATCCCAGTTATTCCGATGACACCCACTGGCTTTCTTTCCCCGGGCGAGACTCAGCCTCTTGGGGTTCCAAGCAACCCTTTCAGACATAAGATGCTGATGAGTGGCTGACCCGCCTTGGCAGAAGGAGTTCCTTTCCTGGGTCTTCCCTCTATCATTGAGATAGCATTTCCATCCCTCTCCCTGTCCTTGGCGCAGACAGGTATCATTGGAACAGGGTCTCATGGTCCAACCTGAGCTTTAAGAAAATCACGTAGGCATTTGTGGGGAGGGTGGATTAGGGGGCAGAATCGACGGGGGAGTCATTGTGCCTGGGGTTCTCTGCTTCTGCCTACTTCAGTCTGCGTCAGTTCAGATCGGCCTCCTCGGGTTTCTCTGAATTCTTCCAGGTTGTTGTTTCTTAAGGCACAACAATGTTCAGTAGGCTCTCAGGCCAGTCTCTTGGGTCTCTCCCCAATCAATGGGCAACCGGTTGGGTCCAGTTGTTTGCTACTACAGCGAGTGCTGCTGCTGGGAGTATTTTGTTAGATGGGAGGGGCAGTGTTCTTTCCAATGCACCACATTACTGCTGTCCTAAAAAAGCTTGGAGAGCTCCAGATAAGGCCGTGGAAGCAATTACATTATCAGAAAATAAGACCTATGAGGAAGAAATTGGGAAAACTGGAATCATTTACCCTGGAGGAGCTTCAGTGGTAGCCAGAAAATTGGATTAAATCTTATCCTGAGGAATTCGGGTGAGACTTAAGGAAGTCTGTCACTGAGCACTAAAACATTTTACCAAGGAAAGTGATGGACGCCTTTTATCTGGACAAATCAGGCTGTGTCGATGTGAATGAAGAGAAGGTAAAGAGATGCTCTTCTTCCTTCGGTGACATCCTGGGTCATGGGGTTTGTTCCCTGGCCTGGAGCTCGGAGCTGATGACTCCAGGGTCATCGATCGGCCCCGTCTGGGTCCCCAGGCTCTTGTCTGATGAACGCATGCTGTTTCTCAGAATGGACTCAGCAGTGGAGGGGAATCAGCTCCGTGGTCCATGGTGCTAAGAACATCGTGCTCATATGCAAGGGCTTGGTCCCATCAGAGTCCCCAAGAAAAGGAAGCACTTGGGCCTCCACAGCAGTGCTTTTATGATAACAATAATCAATGTTTCTGCGGCACTTCAGGGTTTAGGAACCTGCTTTCTTCTGGGAAGCAGCTCGTGCAAATGTCATCATGGCATTTTACCATTGAGGAAATGAGGCTCTGAGGGACAGGAACTTGCTCAAGGTCCCATAGTCTCAGGCAGGATTTGAACCTGGGTCTCCTGCCTCCAAGCCAAGCACTTTATCTGCTGTAGCACACTGTCTGTCTTGTGATAGAAAGGCCTTAAAAAGAAGCCTCCAGACAATCAGACTGAAAGGGAATCACTAGGTCAGTCTTTATTAAGTCTCTGAGGATTGGCCAATTCGCTTTTGTGAAGGTGAAGGAGATAATTGATGCCTTGACTCTGCATGCCGGGGTGCAGCTCCACAGAGAGCCCCTCATGACTGCTTTGGCGCTCAGGGATGCTCAGGGAGGCCTGGTGGGTCTGCGGCTCCCAGAGCTCTCCCCATGGCAGCTCTGTCTGGCTGCCCCCAGGCTGGCTCTGGGCAGGTTCCATTTCCCTAATCCCAAAGCCGGCGCTTTCCTGACCTTGGTATTTAGTCTGGAAATCCTCCCAGTTAGATCTCTAAGCGTCAAAGTGGGAGCTTTAGTTCGTCCGTCACAGGCCTGGTGTGGGAGGCTCCGGGGCTGTGGCTGTGGGCCTTTGCGCCTCTGCCTTGTCAGGTCGATACTGGCGTGATTATCATCCCCAGTTTCTGCGAGTTCTAAGATGCCGAGTGACAGTCTGTGCCAAAGCTGGGATTGTAAGCCTGCTGCTCCTGACTCTGAATCTGGCCCCTGGTCCCTGAGGGTATGGTCCCAGTGTGCCCTGGTCCTCAGTTTGCCCACCCTGGCCTTCTAGGGTGCAGTTTGCCCCCGATGACTTCTTCTGCTCTGCCTGCAGTGGGCATTCTCCCTAGTGAAGGCCTCTCTTTGTACTTGGCCAGTGAGCGAGCCCACATTCGTGTATTCTGCACTTTTGCTCTTGTCTGGATTTTCTTGATTCTGTGAGAGGTGCTTTTACCGTCAGCATTGTGTACTGCACGGGTACAAAGCGTTCACTTGGACAAGTGCTCGTGGCCTTGCTGGAAGCCATCAGGGAGCCAGTCACCTCAGCAGACTCTGCGTGGGTTCTTACTGTGGCCGACTGCCGGTGCTTGGGCCGAGGAGAGCACCCTGAAGAAGGCCCTGCCTTCAAGGAGCCTGCAGTCTATTTTTAAACCCTGTCAAGAAGTGCCCAAGAGCACAAAGCATGGGGTTTACCATTGTAGAAAAGCGCTTGGCAAAGGGGACATAGTTATGAAGCTGGAATTCTCCAGGGACTGGAAATAATTGTTCCTGAGACTCTGAACCTCTAAACTGTCCTGGGAAGTGTAGAGGCCAATAAGGCCAGCTCTTAAAATGGTCTGTAGCCCAAGGGAATGGCGCGTGGAGGCCCGTGGGCCGGCCTCGTGGTTGCTCTGCCCGACGGCGCTGCCCCTGTTGTATTAACTCATGTTCATTGTTTCTTCGAAGGTGGATTGGACTTTAAACATTGGCGAGCAAGCGCTGGACATCTGCGTTGTCTCCTTCAGCCAGTCGGCCTCCTCTGTTCTTGTGCTTGGTGAGAGAAACTTCTTTTGCCTTAAGGACAATGGGCAGATTCGATTTATGAAGAAACTGGGCTTCAGCCCTAGTTGTTTCCTCCCATATTGTGCAGGTGGGTTTCAGAAGAGATGCGTGTGCAGGTGCGTGTGCGTGAGAGTGTGTGTGTGTGTGTGTGTGTGTGTGTGTGAGACGGTGGCTCTGTGCTGAGGCTACTTTCTGTAAATAGAGGAATAACCTTTTCTCCTTCAAGACTCTATGGAAATTTTAGCCTTTGAAAGTTAAGAAGAAGTTTGACGTAGGCACAGCTCAGGTGCTGTCTGCCGTTTTCCTCTGTGTAAAACGATTCACAGCTCAGCCTCCAGTGGGCATTCACCTTTCCAAGCAGAAGCCGCTCAGGAATGTCGTCTTGATGAGACGAGCAGGTACCTGCAGGCAGAGTCGGTCCCCGTGATGCTCGGCTCCGCGCATCCTGCTCCCGTCGAGCACTCGTGAAGTCATTGCCCCTGGGGCGTTGCTGGGTGACCAGGAAGTCCGGCAGCCTCCAGGCCGGGGAGGTCACTGAGGGCCGCCTGAAGGTGGGGCCAGGGTGTGGACGGTTGGTTAGAAGCAGACGCTGTACCAGTGCTTTGGGAGAAGCCTTGGCCTGTAGGCCTTCATGTGGGAAAAATAGGCCAATTTGTGTCACAAAGAATGAGGCTTATGTGCATGACCATTTTTAAGGTTCACAAAATACTTTCTTCGCAGTAACTTTGGGAAGGTAGGAATCATTGTCTTCATTTTACATATGGGAAAACTGAGGCCCTGAGAGGCCGAGGAGCTACTAGATGGCAGCTAGGTGGTGCAGTGGGTAGAGCGCTGGGCCTGGAGCCAGGAAGATCTGAGTTCAAATCTAGCCTCAGACAGTTCCTAGCTGCGTGACCCTGGACAAGTCACTTAACCCTGTTTGTCTTAGTTTCCTCATCTGTAAAATGAGGATAATAATAGCACCCCCTTGGGTCCCCCATCTGCCTGGGTTGTTGTGAGGACCAAATGAGATTTGTAAAATGCTCTGCAAACCTTAAAATGCTACATGCTTGCCACTGTGATGATGGCGTAACTTCCCTGGGTCACGTAACTTGTGAGTAGAAGAGCTGAGACTTACGAGGACGGTGAGGACATTGATAACACCGGCTGGAATGGATAGAGCGTTCTTTGCACACAGTCTCTCCCTGGCCCTCAGGACGGCTCTGAGGCGTGAGCTCAGTTCATGTAAGTTATAGATGTTGCTGTCAGCCTCACAGAGAAGGGTTAGACATGGGACTAGGGCCCAGGTCTCTGCTGACTCAAGGCGCAGCCTTCTGTCCTCCACAGCTCAGTACCTTCTTCTGCTGCCGGCAGGGCCGGCGTGTGCCCCATCTTTCTTTTTTGCTCAGAACTCTGCTTTTCTCTCTTCTGCCAACAGTGTCGGAAGGAGCAGTCAGCACGCTGATTGGAAACCACAGTAACATGCTGCACATTTACCAGGACGTGACGCTGAAGTGGGCCACGCAGCTTCCTCACGTGCCCGTTGCGGTGAAGGTGGGCTGCTTGCAGTGAGTACTTCCATTCATCACGGGTGTTCAGGGACTTAAATCCTGCAGGAATTCTGCTAACTTGTGTAAGCTGTTCTGAACTTGTCATTAGTCACAGCACTTATTAGGAAGACAAATAAGTGTCTTTCATTGAGTGAACATTAAGAAGCCCGTGCAAAGTACCATGAATATTGTGGATTTCACAGCTTCTAAAAGATATTTGCTGCAAAAGCAGGGATGAAAGTGGGTTAGGTTTCAAGAGAATTGTTTTCCTCTTGGAGTATTTCCTTTAGATCTCCAAGGCAAAGAAGCTTTCTATGTGTTTGTTTTAAGTAAATAGTATGATTTGTTCTTATTCAGAGGTTGATGGAATCTCAGATGATTCCACTCCACATCTTGTTTTAAAGCTGTTTTGTGAATTTTCAATGGAATTTTTATATTGCACGGTCCATTTCCAAGCAGAACTACAAAAGACCTTGTGTTGAAGATAAGTCAGATTTAAGCAGAGCCATCTTGGATATAAAAGCAAAGAGAGATGCTGCATCCAAACACCGGCTTTCTGAGGAATGGGACAGAAGGGCTTGGGGAGAGCCAACTTGGTCATTTTTCTAGATGATCAGGAAGAGCAGGGATTAGGTTTTGACCATGAGCTCTTTGGAGCCTTACGTTCAGAAATTATGTGGCTTGGTTGTTGTCTGTACGTAAGGAGCTCTTTGTCATGGGCACTGTTAAAATGAATGAAATCTCCAAAAGTGGAGGCCTGGAAATGTGTACATACAGATTGTTCTGTGATCACAATGAACTCTATTTTTTTTTTAAAGAGACAGGTTATACCTTGTCCAATTTCAGTTAATAGAATCCTTCCTCTTGCCTTCCCTCATGTCAGACACAGGTGATTTTGGGACCCATCTGCTTCAAAAATGAAGTTGAGACAAATAAAATGTTAAGAAAATTTTACCTTTCATGATGGCAAAATGTTGGTGTTTAAGCTGCAATATTTATTATTATTAAGAATCACAAAAGTGGTTTGCCAAGTATTCAAATTTAAATTCTAAGGTTAATGTAAAGTTTGAATTAAAAAGAAAAGTCAGGCTCTTAGAAAAATCACTTGCATTAATTTCACTAGACTAGAACTTGGGTATTCTCACCAATTCTGGTTTAAGTCTTGAATCACATTTTGTGAACTGGTAAGTATTTGGCAATTGCTAGAGACCTGCTTTTGGCAGATCAAATTTGAGAAAAATTTTGTTTAACAAACTCTTCCAAATGTACCTTAGTTTGTGAAGAGTAAACATTCTGTTGCTGTATACTTCACGTCATCGTTCATGTTTTTACTTTTAATCAGTAGCAGCTGTGGGCTGTCATATGCTCTCGTGTGGTCTTGGGGAATGGATCAGGGCCTGGCAGCCTCTTGTGACTCATGGCACCCCTAGGCATCAAAAGTAGATGCAAAGAGGAACAAAAATGGATGTGTCTTTAACAAGATTCCCCACTGCCCCTTATTTTGACCCTCAAGGCTTTAGAATTCAGACACCCCCAGTTGCTGCACAGCACAGCCTCTGGCCTGGCCATCCCCCGCCCCCAAGGAGGGTGCTAGCCGAGCTGAGCTCAGAGCTCTGGGCCAGTGTCTGAGTCTAGGCCCATGGGGGAGGCCTTTTGTCAGCCTCACGTAGCCGTCCATGGAGGCTGACTGCTTTGGCACCGATGGGGATGGCATCTGGCATCAGTAGAGGGAGTGCCAACACATAGAACCGTGGAGTGCTGAAGGAAGTTGAGGAGTTTCATTGTGATTTACTAGGCCCAGAAATGGGTGATAACACAGGTCTGTGTTGTGTCCTGTAGCGTTTGAGTTCTTGGAGTTTAAACAGTTTTGATAAATATGTTTAGACAGCAGAGTTTACATATCAAGGAAATGATTACCATTTTCTAATGTTTCCTTTGGGTAAATAAGAAAATGATGAGTTTGGGCCCAGTTGATGCAATTAGACTTTCTGATCCGGAAATTCCCATTCTTGTTGGGTGCTCTGGGCTCTTTGTTTCTCTTCATCGCCCTTTGGCCTGTCTTGCTTGGCGCATCCTTAACTCAATTGGATGTTGTCTTTTGACTTTAAATATGATTTTAAATATTGACAGGTAAGGTAAAGGGGACTGGGACAAGGCATACTCATTAACTGAATTAACCGACTCTGAGTGTGACCATGATTTCTGAGTTTCCTGGTTGTTCACGTATGTTCTCAGGCTGACGAGGTGGTGATAAGAGCGCACGTTGATCCGGTGTTTCATGGGCAATGCCTTCTCCGCAGCAGGGATGGGAACCAGGGTCTCCAGGCCCTCTTGGCGTCTCTGTGACTGGAAACTAGTTAAGTGACCTTGGGTGAGTCACTTAACCTTTGTGAGCATGTTTTTCTCATCTGTAAAATGAGGGGGATGGTCGTTGGGGTGATCGTAGTTGTCCTGCCTGCCTGGCTTGTGTGGTTTTTGGGTCATAGATTTAAAACTGAAAGGGACGTAGAGGCCATCTCATCCAAGCCCTCCATTTTATAGATGAGGAGACTGAGGTAGAGGTAAATGACTCACCCAAGGTCATGTCAGTAGTACACAGCAGAGCTGTGGTTACAAGTCCACTCCTCTACCTCCAAATCCAGAGTTTTTTTTTTCCCCCAGTGTACCACACTGCCTCACCTACAACTAGAAGCTACTATTGGTATAACAGATGTTGTTAACAGCAAAAGTTCCACATAATGAAAATATTTTTAAGCTCTGGCTAGGGGCCCAGGGCCCCCTTCCCCTTTTGTTACTGAGAATTCTCTAGTTTATATAACTGTGAGTAAAATGAGTATATTTTTCCAGAGCTTGTATGTATAGCCGCTTCCCATGATGAAAAGCATTTAATATTTTCTTCTTAGTCCTTTGTTTCTCTGCTGTGGGATGCCTCCCCCTTTCTGTGCTGCCCCCCTCCTCGAGAAGCCCTCCCTCCCTGCCTGGCTCCCGGGTGTTCTTTTCTGAACAACATCGTATGGTCTGCACCCTCTTTCATTCTAGACTGTCTCCTACTGTTTGCCCCTGCTTATCTTGATAGCCCCTTAAGGCAGGGATCCTTTTGTGTTCATGTCCCGCGTAGCTTCTTAGCACATAGTAGAGGTGGAGGTAGAATTAGCACATGAAGCCATTATGGGTCAGCGTGGTGGATCCTCAGTGAATCTGGGCCGGCTTTTAGTGATCGCTGTTTTCCTTTATAGTTTTTCACAAACCTTTTTAATAAGGCATTCTAGAATTTTCCCAGGAAAATTCAGCCAACCTCACTGGCCCCTTGATTGAAGAATCCATTTTCTTCCTCTTCTGAACCAAGAGGACTCAGTTTGCCCATCTCCAGTCTTCCACACCCTCTCATGATTTCCCAGAGGTCTCTGACAGCAGTTTGTTGTAGCTTTATCTGATGCCTTGGGCTAGAAGTCCACATCCCATCTTCTATCTGCTTTTGTTTCCTGAAGCCTCTGCCTCCCATCAGGTGTTCCTAGAAACAGCCTCGTCCAGGACTGTGGGTTCCTCCATTCCTTCTGGCAGTTTTCTTTGGCCCCCAAATGAAATACCACAAGCAAGGACTGGTCATCAGGTTTGATGGTCTGGGGAGGCTCCCATTGCATTCTGGATCCCTTTCCTGGGAAGACACCTCATCTCCTGATCCTTCATGTCAGGTTGACAGATGATGCCTTGGTATCCCTTGGCACGGAACTGTTCCCCGCCACAACTTTCTTTTCTTTCTGTGAGTTCTGCTGGGTTTCCTCTCTCCTCCTGGCATCTATCAGTATCTCATCAGTGGAGCTTTCAAAGGTATTTCTTCCTCAGTGGGTCCATCTCAGCCCCTGGTGCCCTTGGGATAGTGGCAGGTCTCTGTGGTTCTGGGGGGGGGCCCTTTGTGTCCCCTTCCTTCTCCGGGGGGCAGGTCTGAGGTGGGGCTGAATTCCCCTTTGCCTTGCACTCATTTTCTTTCCTTGTTTTCTTCTCTGTTCTTTGAAAGAACACATTGTCCGTTCTGGAATGCGTGAGGAGAGACGTTTCTCCATCCCTTTCACCTCCCTGTGTTTCCATATATGCAGCTATAACTGGCCAAGTTATATAAGCAGTCTTATGTTGGCAGGTTCCTGGGAGGGGCTGTCTCCTCACTCTCCCTGCGCTGTAGTTTGCTTTTTCCAAAGACTCATGTTCTAAAAGCAGAGTTGCTTTTTTACTCAATCAATGACAAGTATTTACTAAGCACCATTTCATTTCTTATGTGGAAGATACAGTACTAGGCACAGGGGTACAAGTACAAAGGATGAAAAAATCCCTGCTGTCGGGGAGCTTACATCTATAAGTCGATATCTATTTTGAGTCTTGTGGAAATACTTTTTGGAAGAAAATAAGTTGCTTTTAGAAAAAATAGTGTTTTATATGTATATAAATACACTTCCCCCACATGTTTATATGTGCACTTATATAATGTTTTCTTCTTGTAAGGCCACTATTTGGGGTTTCGGGGTTGGCCCCTTGGCTTCTCTGTGCCTTTCCAGTTGGCCTTCTGAGGTCACACAGTGAGTGTGATCACTCCGGTAGAGTGAGATTCTTCTTTTCTAGAGTCACCCTATGGAACTTTGTTAATTATCGGGAACATTTGGTGGCTTAAATTTGGAAATTGCCTTGTGATCATTTAAATTGTTATTTTACCCTCGTGAAATAAACAGAGAGGAACCCTTTAAAATGGGAGCTGCTGCTTCTTGTTTTCCCGTTTCATGTGGACGTTCCTCCTATCAGATGAAACGTCCAGGTGTGAAAGTTAGTCAGTAGCCTCCTGTCTGGCCGCCCGTCGTGGTCCTGGTGCTGTTTTCATTTTTCACGGAGTGATGGGAAATGCAGCGTCCTCCTGTCTCACCAGGAGCGCAGCACTAAGTACAGTTCCATATTGTTCAACCTTGGCTAAAATTCCAGGGTAAAGCTGATGAATTTGCAGCCAGAGCTTTTGGAGACGCGCTAGAAAGAAATAC